AGTTCTGGAATGTTGGTAGTTCATCTAGGAGGAATTTCAGTTTGAATGTCTTTATCTTGGAGTAGGTCGGGTTTGTTGAAAGATCCGAATGAAGAACAGGGAGAAAAGTTGATGCGTTGGCTTGGTGTTACAAGATGGTGTCGATTTTATGAGGGAAGGAATGTGTGTGCTGACTATTAAATCTTTACGTGAAAAGGTAGTAAATGTGGATAATTACAATAATACTAATAAGGCAGTATCAGCATGCCTAATAACGGATTCATCCGGTGCTCATTATAATTTGCCTGCCCAAAAATATAAAATTATTGGGCAGGTAAATCATAATAAGCTTCCGGATAAAGCTCTTATTTGGTTCTTGATATTCCATCTGATATTCGAAGTAATACGATGAGTGAGGCTCGTAAAGTGTATAAGTCCAATTTTAAGATGGTTCGGGAAGGAAGACACCAAAATTTTGAAATTAAAATTCGAACTAATAAATTATTTCTAGATAGCATATCAATTCAATATCGTAGAGCTCCAATCCGGATAAATCCGTCATCCATTTATCCATATCCGAATTATCCAGATCATTCAGATCGGATAAACAGATCAAATATCGGATATCAATAGTAAATGGACCGGATAAACTCAGATCGGATCTTTGGATAACGAATATCTGATAATTATCCAAATAAATGGAACTCTACAACATCGTCAATGAAATAGAATTACAGGGGATGAAAGAGATTTTAACCTCAGAACCGCTTCCCGAGATTGAACATAATTTGCGGATTTGTTTGAAACGTTCTACTTTTCATCTCCATCTCCATCTCCATCGAAAATGGACGTCCAAACCCGGTGTCATTTCGTTGGATCATGGTTCTCGAACGTTTATAACAGGGTACGACCCAGGAGGGAAGGTGATTGAATAGGGACGCATGGATTTAAACCTTTTATTTCGTTTGTCAAGGAGGTACGATCTCTATCAGAGCATACAAACTAGAGGCCGGATCCATGAATATTCCCGGTTAGAAACGGATATTCATTGAATATCCAATATTAGGTTACACAAAATTCACGAATAGTCGAGGGTCCGTAATCAATATAATTGATCCGTGTATATTCGTGAATATTCGCGTGAATATTCGCGATTACATGGGTATCCATCCAAAATTCGGATATTCATCCAATACTATTCATGAACATCCGCAAATATTTACTGAATAGTCATGATGGATATTCAAAGGATCCGACCTCTAATACAAACAAGTAAAAACGGTATCATTTGAGAAAAGAGATGTATCGTAGACAAACTGGCCAAGCATCTTTGCGGCAACTACGACCGCAATCACTTGCTCGAGTTCAAGAGTCAAGACATGGTGCAGGATAAATTGCAATGTAAGATCTAGGAAAAGTGGCTCGAATGTTACTCACCTGGTTGCATTATCGTTTCAACAGTTCTTCTTGCATAAGAGCCGGGAGTACGAAAACGATGAAGCGCATACGTACGTACGTACCTCCAAGACATGCGACGATGTGGGACGTTGAACAACATATTGGATGTTAAAAAGATTTTTAATTGTGACCTTTGTGTGTAAGAGTTGATCGAAATATGAATAACGCGCGTAATATTTTGATCAAGTATTTGATCGAATCATGTTGATAAAAGTGTTTGGCTTCTTTTATCAAACATTGGGACTTGAATTCGCCGTTTAATCAAGGTTTTACTAACTATGTTTATTCTTGGATTTAATTTCAAGGGACCCCAAAATACTTGTGTAATATCGGAATTGTAAATAAGTTGTGTGCCTGCTCACAAATAAATTGTGTAACGAAATCATATATAACTCTGGTCATTGATGGCACCTATATAAACTACTCAATGATCAAATTGGTTTTGTCGAACTTTTTCATGTTCAACTATAAAATCTAAAATGTCAACTACTCACGATTCCCCACCACCCATTCCGCCAAAGCCTAATACACCAGACAGGAGTTCGCAAGTTAGTAACGTCACAAATATTGATCAGCTGCTAAATTTGATTGATAATGAAATCGGCAACTCTCGTTCAGACGACGAAACCTGGAATCAGGCGTCAATAAGACAACCAGCACATGTAGATCCAAAACATCAAGCTATGCCGTTGAATATAAGTACAAACACACACTTTTCTGAAGCTGCAAATACTGCAAACCCGATAGGGCCACATCAAATGCTATCTCAACATGCAACGACGGCATATAACCCAAACAGTAATTCTTCAAATGCACAACACGTTTATCCTCCACAGCCAAATTACAATTCTGCGCAACCATATTATAATAATAATTACAATGGGAGACAGTATCAATATCAAGGAGCGTATACCGGACCTTATTACTCATCATATCCTCGTGACCTAACGTCTCAAGGATGGCCTGCCCAGAACTCGGCTTATCCACCAAATTCTAGTACAAGACCTCTGCCCAACCCGCCTTCAAATACTACAATCTATCCTTCGCATAATCAATCTGCTCAATATTCTCACAACATGTGTCCGTATGGTGTCCCTTATGTACCTCCGACAAATGTACCATCAGCAATGCCTGTATATCCTGTAATGCCCGATTATCTTAAATACATAGATAATTCTACAGGATCACATGTTCAACATGTTGGCCAAAACATTCAACCACCACGGAGTCCTCAACCACATTCACAGGTGAGAGTATTCATTATAACCGATTTTTTTGTCAAAATTCAGCCCGTTAATTATCATTTACTGTTTTTAGCCCGTATACACGCAAGAATTGCCTTATGATGCATATCCAACCGATTATACACATAAGTGAGAGCTTGAGATGATTTAAACTGTGACGAGAATATTATAAATAATGTTACTAACAGTTCAAAATATCTTAGTTACCCGTCTTCTGCCGGTCCTTCAACTCATACGTGGCCGTTAACGACTCCACAAACGACATCAATAAAACAAACAAGTTCAATACCAGAAGCCAAAAGACCACATTCAGCTGCTCCTCGACCGATGAATCCTGCATTGCTATCATGTATAGCACTAGCCTTTCGAACTAATATTAAGTTGGGGACTCATACGAAAGGCGCACTGGAATATCCAGAAAGCTTTACAGGAAAAGATGCAGTGGTATTGCTTCATTGATTATTCCAACCGGTTTTATATATTTGCTATACCAAACAATGGATTTTACATTATTAAATAAATTGTATATTATTTGTTAATTATTTGTTAATATTAGTGCACAATATTCTCTCTTGTTCAACGTGATGTACCCAGTGTTTCTCGTCATGTCGCATTGTCAATGGCGCGTTCGTTAGAAGCCCAACTTTATTTCCATTCAGTCTACTGGGGCATAGTTACTGTAATCAAAGACACAGAAGATGAAGTTTATACATTCCTAAACTCAGATCCTGAAACTCCTACAGCCATTGAATTGGATGAAGATTTTCCAACTGGGGTTTTCCCTATTATTGCGAAATGCTATAGCCCTCGGTGTGGTATCGATGGCAAGGGTTGTTATTCTAGGACTTGTCCTAATTATGTTCCAGGCGTGGTTAGTAAACATTTTTAATTATGACTTTAATAATGACTTTAATCCTGCCAACATTTTAATATAGGTAGTTTGTTTAACGGTTCTTATTGCTCCGTATCTTTTTTTACATGCTATAGGATGAAAAACCACCAGATCCTGCTATGAAGAGACCAGAAAGCTTAACACCTACTGATGTCGTGGAAACTCCGGTAGGTAATAGTTAAAAGAAATCATAGGTTAAATACTAAGAAGATTATTTCAAAATTTTGGCTGCCAATACTTCGTTTGATATATTTTTTTAAAAAAAAAAGTCTTACAAGAAATATTTGTACATAAAAAGGCTCAGGACCGTACATGGGTTGGATCCGTGTCGAAGGAAATTTTGGAATCACTTAGTAAAGAAGAAATAAAACGCCAAGAAATTATTTTTGAAACAATATATACTGAAGAAGATTATGTGAAGGATTTGGATCTCATCGAAGAGGTGATATATACGTACATACATCGTCTAATGCTTGCAATACATTTATGCGATAAATTGTTTAATATGTTTATTTTAATTTTTTGGTAGCTTTTCATAAAAGGACTTCGTACAGCTTCACCACCAGTTATTCCTCAAAATCAACTCGAAAGCTTCATCCAGGAAATCTTTTTTAACGTCTTAAAGATCCGTGACCACAATCGAAAAATGTTTGAACGACTACAAAAACGACAAAAGGAGAATCCCGTGGTGGCAGTCATTGGAGATATATTTTTTGACTGTGCACTAGAATTTGGTAATGATTATATAGATTACAACGGGCATTTTCCTATCGCTGACAATATTATTAGGTCTACAAAGCTAAAGAATCCAGAATTTAAGAGATTCTTGGAGGTATTACGATTATTTTTTTCAACTTCCAAGTATCTGTGTTAAACTGGTACATAATTTAATTTATAACATGTTAATTAGCAATGTTCACGATCTAAAGAAGCTCGTAGACTTGATTTCCGCCATTTTGTACAACGTCCTACTACACGTCTGCAACGATATACATTATTACTCGAACAGATCAAGAAATACACACCAGATGAAAACCAAGACAAAGGTTACCTTGACAGTGCTCTGCAAACGATTCGTGAACACTGCTCTGTAAGCGATAATAGAGTTCACGAGGCCGAAAATCGACTGAAAATATTGGAAATTGAACGTAAATTGGTCAAAAAAGATGGAGGTCCTTGCGTACGAATAAATTGAGTGATTATGTTCTTCACATAAAGCTTTATTATTTGAAATTACGCGTCTAAATTTTTTATATTTGTTATATTTATCTAACTTAGAATGAGCTCAATGAGCTCAATCTCTCAGACCCAAATCGACAATTGTTATTCAAGGGTGAATTACAAAAGAGATCCAGTCTTGATAAACATGATCTATTGGTGTTTCTCTTTGATAATTATTTGGTTATGACAAAAGAAAGAAAAGGGCCTGATGGAGAAATAAAATACCAACTATCAAAGAAGGTATGTTAAAACCTTATATATTTGAATTCACGGTGTATACTAACCTTTCAATCGCGCCTTTATGAAGCCTATTCCATTAGGTTTACTTATTGTAGATACACCTAGTGAAACTCTACAGCCAAAGGCTACAACGTTTCATATCAATATTAAACCACTTGATCAAGTTAGGAAAAGAACTAATAGTACAATGCAATCTCCTATTTCACCGCAAGCTGTTACCGATCTTGAAGGACAAAGCAATACTTATGGTCGATATCCGTTTACTATCCTCCACATTGGGCGACATGGAGGCCAATATCAAGTGTTTGCAGATTCAGATACTACACGAAAAATGTGGAAAGATAGAATACAAGATGCACAAACAAAACTTCTATCGAACGAAGCTGTTAATAAACAAATTTTTGAAGTGTTTACATTAAATGATTCCACCTTCGTAACTGGTCTTGGTGGATCTTCAGCTAATTCGGGGTCATCAACATCCATATCAAGAAGCAAAGTGACATGTTCCGTACCCTTCGGTAAGTCTTAGTCCATTGACCTTATAGCACATATTCACGTTCTATAGTCTCATTCTTTATTTTCAATCATAGTTACATCTGAGAAACGTAACATGGTTGCTATTGGGGCTGAAGATGGTGTCTGGATGGGATTTGGAGGAGAAGTGAGGACTTTCAAGCAAGTTTTAACTGTCAGCAATGTGACTCAGATGGCAGTTCTTGAAGATTTTGGAATATTTGTTGTATTATGTGGTGAGTATTTATAAATTGAGTTTAAATGAGATTCTTTAATTTAATGATATTTATTTTATATAGATAGAACACTCTGGGCATTTTCTTTGGATGCTATAATACCATCATCATCAAGCGGAAGCTCTCACAACCAACCATATCGCCAACGCCTAAGTGCTGGTAACAATGTTCAATACTTTAATGTTGGCGTTATAAAGGAGAGGAATTCTACGAAGGAAAAAACTTTAGTAGTATACATGAAAAAAAGAGGTTTAGAAAGTCACTTCAAAGCTTTGGAGCCCGTATGTGCAGTCGGCTCAAGTAGTGATAAATCAAAAGCCTCATCTTCACGTCGTGGTGCGTTTGCTAATCTAATTTCTTCAAAAAACGAATGGTTCAAGGAATATAAGGTAATAGTTCATTTTATATTCTGTATTATTATTATTATTTTCTTACTTTATCGTTTATATTGTTTATACATATTAGCAATTTTATATCCCATCTGAATCATATTCGGTAAACTTCCTGAGGTCTAAGCTTTGTGTCGTATGTACACGTGGGTTCGAAATTGTAAACTTGGATACTTTACAGAATGTAACTATACCTGATTTCTCGGATCCATCTTTTGCACAATTGGGGAGAAAACTAGATACGTCCAAACCACTTGGAATGTTTAGGTTAAATGATGATGAATTTTTGTTATGCTATGATGGTAAGCATTTAATTACCTTTTTTTCATAGTATTTACTAACTTCGAATGTTTTATTTAAGATAATATTAATATTCATAATTTATTTTAGATATATTTTTCTATGTTAATAAGCATGGTGAATTATCGCGAAAAAATGTGATGGAATGGGAGGGTCATCCTGAAACGGTAGCATTGCATCTGCCATATATTATTGGATTTGATCCGCTGTTTATC